AGCTACAAACTTCTGCGTGGTGAATTTCCTCTTTGCAAACACGGTTTGATCCTAGTCTCATACTTCACCTCCTTTGTGGATATGAACTCAGGTCAAACAGATCACCATTCTACAGACTTTGGTTCCTGCTCATCAACATTTATTGGTAAGGAGACTGCCAAGTATATCAGGAATAGGTCTCGGGTCTGGAACACAGCTGTGAAGAATGATTCCTGTCCTCAGGAATCTTATTCAAGCATTTGAAAGACAGAGTCAACAAACACATGCAAAGTGCAATGACATCACAATTCCCAAAATTCACAGCCCAGTGTTGTGGCTTCCTACTAAGAATCCCATCACCCCAGTGGCTCAGACTCAACAATACTGTGTCCTCTTAGTTTTGAGCAGACAGAGGAACTTAAATATTAAGAGGTTTCTTTTACATGAACAAAAGCATGGAATTTCATATAGTAAAAACAGGAAGGGCATAATTTAAAAATAAATCTGCCAGTACTCCATTTTACATATTTAACACTGAAATGTAAATACCTTGGTTTTGATAATAAAAAGCAGCTGCTGTGGATGTGTTTTTATTTAGAACACCCATCAGTTTGAACTTAGGACAACACAATATTAAACCATATGTGAGTATAATTCAAAATCCGATATTGTGTACAGCCACAGCTCTGGTATTTCAAGGTACACTTTGATACCAATTGAATTAAATAATTTTCTGTAAGTACTACTTGCTCTTTTATATACAGGAACAGTATTACCCAAAGCAAATTGATAATAGCCACTTTTAAGACATATCTAAATAAATATGCCTTATAAACAAGTAAAGTTTTCACAAAAACCTATGGGTTCAATTCCTAATCAGCCCTTGTTCCAATTCCTCCATTCCCACAAATCACAAATACTAAATCATATAATTCTTTCTGGGCAATGTTTAAATGGAGTTGGCTGCCTGGACAGGATGTAAGCCAAGACATGACTGAATTCGGGGCCCCGGGTGGTGCCTATGTTATATCAATAACTCCCATTCCCAAAGAACCAGGCAAGCGGGAATAAAGGGCAGCCCTGTCCTCCCCGGAGCTCTGTCTTGGCTCCACATGCTCTTTTGAGGAAATGTGATGGAGAAAAGATTTCTCCCATTTTCAACTAAAAAGAAAGTCATTGTTTGAAGTGTAACGGAAATGTCACAACCACTAGAATCAGCCAGTGGGCTGAGCCTTCTTACTTTTAATCAAAGACTGGCTTTTCTCCCCTCACTCTTGGATGGAGTTTGGAGTTTATTCCAGAAATTAAAAATAGAGGGGAGTGAAGGGAAAAAAACACGAGCAATAGGATAAACTCCCCCAAAAACCTAGGCGGGGAAAATGGAAATAACAGCACCCTTTTTGTAGAACATTCAATGCTTGGTTCTTTTCTGGTGCTGATTCAGATAATTTCCCTCATTTTGCAAGTATTTTTTTTAACCTTTCTATTTCAAGGACACTGATGATCAATATTGTATTGAAGTACTTGAATATTATTAAGAACAGTATCAGAGAAAATTCGTTTGGCCCTTAAAATAATCAACTACCTTCTTCCCACCTTCCTGTTGGGAGGAACACGAAAGAAATTAGCTGGCAACAGTGTTAACTGTGTGAGACCGTAAAGATGAGTGCAGACTGACTCTAAATAAGTAGAAGGACATGGGAAAGAGGGACTGGTGCTAGCCAGCAATGCACAGGAGTGTGGTTGTCAGGAGTGAAGCAGTAGTAGTCTTGATGCCCACACGCTAGCTCCTACTTCCCAGCACTGCTCAGATTCCCACTTACAGTGTACAGTTAAGCACTTCATTTTTCCCTTTCCCATTTTCTTGTCTATATAGATGGGCATGCTCCTCCTCTATAACTGGTCAACATAAAATAAACAAACTGCTGCCTTTTATAAAAGGCAAAAAGGGGAAATCTTAACTAGAGTAAACGAGGCTCCTTTTTTACAGCTAACTAGAGTAATGATATGTTACTGTCTTTAGAAACTGCCTTTGGGCTAGATGGTGGCTCAGTGGATAACAGGCTGGCTGTATAAGCCTGAGGATCTGAGTTCAGATCTTCAGACTTCATCTAGAGGCTCACGGGGTAGCATTTCTGTAACCCCAGTGCTCTCATAGTGAGACAGAAGGCAGAGCTAGGAGAATCCAAGAGACCTGCCTCAAACCAGACGGACGATGAGGACAGTCACCTGAAGCTGTCTTCTAGCCCTCATACACATACCATCGAATATACACACCAAAGCATGGGCACACCTGTCCTCATACACAGGAGCATGTACATACATACACATAGATTATGCACATACACACACACACACACACACACACACACACACACACACACACACACTAAAATTACCTGTGATGGAATAAATTGATTAAAGTAGGGCAATGGCTGAAAAGTTTCAGTACTGCTGAAAGCATTCTAAAAATATACATGATCCTTGAAGCTACATGCATTTAGACATTTCTTAAGTTTTGTAATCATGACACAGACTTTATCACAGCTAAATTAGAACAGGAAATTTACTAGAAACAAATTCACAGATGAAATGAAAACCTACCTTATGAAAGAAATTATATGAGGCTAAATGACTCTCACTTTTACGACTTCATAGCTATTGAGATCAACCAAATGCAAAATGTTCACTTTCCTTTTGCAGGTCAAATCCTTAAGGCTAGAATATATGCTCCCCAACCAAATGCTATAGGCTACACCTGCACTTCCATAGTAAGACAAAGAATCATGCTTTTTGTCATTAGTTTTAGCAATTCCTAATGCAGTTTTTTTTTTCTTGGATTCAATGTCAGCAGCCAGGCTTGACCTGTTCACTCTCACCTTCGCATTTCTGAGTTGTCTCACTCTGCTTGTGACCAGCAGGGCATCTGCATTCGAAAGAGCCCACTGTGTTGATACAGTTCCCCCCTTGGCACAATCCTGGGATAGCCTGGCATTCGTCAACATCTGCAAGGAGAAAACATTTTGAGCATACACCAAACTGATTTGCAGGCTCTATCAGTATTTTTCTTTTATGTCCGGGGAAAATGTTGCTCTCAAGATGTCAGGGTGAGGGAGGCAGCCCCTCCACATGCCTGTTACTTAACTTACATAGACAGTACCAGGTATGCCACATGAGTCTTCTGGAGAGCCACTGTGCTGTTCTGGGGTGAGGAGAATCTACAGATTTGGTGTGCCACAGAATGTTTATATCACAAAAAGAGTAAGTTCTCTGACCAATGATCTAAGTTTCTGTATTCATACATTCTAAAAGCATTAATTAAATGCGAAGTGAGTAAATTCAAGAGACTATGACAAAATACAAAAACAAAAAGCTATACAGATAGATAATTACTATGAAATTTGGGTGTCTGGGAATATAAGTAAAATTGATGTATCTTGTCAGTACTAATCACAGATATAAGAAAAAAATGACTTACTAATATAAGCACTGATAATGAGCATATCACCACAGAGTCTATAAAGATGAAAAAGATCCAAAAAATGAATGGTAGAAATTCAATAGTTAAGGTGAAATACACAAGTCTGTCGAAAGGTACAAATGCCAAGGCTTACTCAAGAACAAACATATTGAGTATAAAGTATTTCTGCTAAAGTAATTTCATTCACAGTTTAATATATTTACACAAAGAACACCTCAGGCCTCAGGGGATGCACCACTGAAGCCTATTAACGATTTAAGAGAAAAAAATGACAGAAATTTCATTCAAATTCTTACAGCACAACGGTGTGACACTGTCCTGTTGATGGGACTTTAAAAAACATCTGTCTGGCATCCAAGCCAGACCCAGACATTACCAAAAGAAACACAAATAAAAAGAACAAAACTGAAAATCTCCCTCCAGGACAGGCACACAAAATTTTAATGAGTTGAGCTTAGTAATACATTAAAATTAGTGTAACAGGAACAGAAGAGGTTTATCCCAGGAATTTAGAGGTTTTTTTTAAAAAGTAGAATGAAATATTAATCAATATAGTTCATCATATTAACAAATAAAAGAAGAAAAGCCATCACCAACCTACAGATTTAGAAAAACAAGTAACAGAATTCACCTCTAATTCATGATTCTAACAGCCTCACTAAAGCAATATAACTTCTTTAATCTGACTAGTCATATGTGAAAAACAAAAACTATGGTTAACAAGATAGGTAGAGATTTTCAGTGATCCTTTGTTGAGAGTGTTTGAAAGTCATGTCCTCCCTTGCCTGTTTATTTCCTTGAGACAGGATCTTGCTATATAAACCAGGCTGGCTTGGACACATTATATGGAGCCAAGGCTGACCTCATGCTCTACCACATCCATTAAAATTTTCATTTTTATATCTGTGTAAATTTGACTTAACTTCTTTACAAGAAACAATAATATAACTGAGTAGATTTGTATGTTAAACTTTACACATAAAATAAAAACATAAAAAGCTGTAAAAAGTTGCTACAATCAGTTCAAACTGAAAGTCTAGTCAAACTGATAAATGACACATATTTCATTATAAGGTTAAAAAATACCGTGTGCCCTTGTCACATACATTTAAAATACAGAAGCACAGAACACCAGAGAAACAACAATTCATAAATGTGCAGTCCTTTCCTTAAAGGAGACTTTTATTCACATATCCATATAAAGTCATTGTCTGTGTATTTAACAAAAATAAGACACTGGGTGTGGTGGTGCATACCTTTAATCTCAGAACTCAGGAAGAAGAGGCAAGTGGCACTCTGTGAGTTCGAAGCCATTCTGGTCTATATAATGAGTTTAATGTCAGCTAGTGCTTAATTGTGAGATCTGAACAGAAAGGGTAAGGCTATACTTCATGTGTCCTGTGTCTCTTTTGTATAAAAGCATGTTAGAGTTTCTTGTTACTTTTAGTAAACCCACAAACAGGGTACCCTTTGTGTTTAGGAATTAGAGACTATGAGCTAACAAAAGATAGCATGCTTTTAACGTCTGTCTATAAAATTAGTGAAAACAGTCTGAAGAAAGTTTGTATTAAAATTAAATCTCAGGGCATTTTAAAGACTCCCCAGTTCAAACGAAAGTCAACTGGGAAGTAAAATAAAGGACATAAAGTTAGATACTGAAAAACTTCAAGCAGTGAGGCATCACTATTCCAAAAGGTCCTACACTCCAATCTGTGACACAAAACAGGAGAAAACACCTCTGGGGACTTCTTTTCCTGGAAGATACATCAGAGGAAGGGTATCATAAAGGAAGCTGAAGTGTGAGGCCAGATTAGAATCCTTTAACACTGTTCATAAAATCTCGGCCTACACAGGGGATCTTCAGCAATTTTTCAAAGAGTAGAGAACTCTGACATGACAGTATTCACTGTGTAGCTGTTTAGAATGCATTTTCCTAGAAGGAAAAAGAAGTCCTTCATTTAGGAAGCCTCCTAGACTTTACAACTATACAGTTTTAGTTTTAGATTTTTACAGAAAAAGCAACCACCACTTATCATTTTTATAGTTGCTATAAAATAATACCTTTAAAAATAATGCCCCATAGCATCAGATAGTTTACACCTGTCTATTTTAAAGTAGTTTGCAGCAATTGTCAATTTTCATATCTTGGTGTGTTCATTACACACCGATCCTCTCACATTTAAAGTTGTTGCAATGAAACCCAGTACTTTTATAGTGAGTAAGCAAAATTACTGGTATGGATTTCACTGTACAGTAGGGAGATTTTATATTAAAAGTTTATAACCTTATTTATTCTCCTTCCTCATTTTAGTGTTGTTAATTATATGCCCTTCATTGGGGAAAATTAAGACATCTTATTTTGAAATGGTGAAAAGCTTTAAAAGGAATTTACAATAATAACACAAAGACTAACACAAATTTACAATGATAACATAAAGAATATTTTAAACAAAGATTTACCATTAGTAACCTTCAAGAAAATTCTTAATTTTCCTAAGTCATTTAGAGTTAGGTCTAGATCTCATGACTCTGTTCCCCCAATACTGATTTCTCTATAAAAACCGCTCAATTGAACCAGGCATGGGAGCTCATACCCCAGATCTTAGCCCTTGGGAGGCTGAAAGGAGGAGGAGCAAAAGTTAGAGATTAAGGTCGAGAACTTGTTTCAAAATAATAATAAAAAAAAAAGCTCTCATATAACTATACATGTGTCTTATAGGCAGGCAAGGCTAGCCATTGGAAGGGAAGAGGGAACTGTAAGGAAGTGAAACTGAAAAAATTAATTTAGAAACGTACACTAGCACTGTCTGCAAAGATAAGAGGCAAGCCCAGATTCCCAATTACAGCTTCAAAATCTCAGCCACACAACAGCTAACAATGAATTCTCCACTACCCACACAGTGCCAATGTGTTTCTGTTCATTCTGTCAGTTCAGGCTCATTCCACTCATTTCTTCAAATGCTGGATTATTGCAAATCCCATGCAAAGACTGTACAGAATTAAGTTAAATCTTTTGAGACTCAAGCCTTACCCTACCACTTCAGTGTCTTCTACTGAAGTTACAAATAAGATATGTTGAAAAAAAAGATATGTTAATTGCAGTTTATGAAAATTCACTCTCCAATTTCTCCAAAGACTCTTGTCCTAAATGGACAAATTCATTATAAAAACTAGCATTCAGTGGCACACTTTTAGTTCACGCCCAAATATGGAAAAATGTAGTATAGACTTGTAACACAGCTTGTTTATAGGTTTGGGGCCAAGAAGAAAAAAAAAATTGTATTTGATAATTTTTTTATTTCTTTATTTTTTTTCTGTCACTAAAATAAGTTCAATTAATTTTTTTATGTGTTTTGTCTGCATTTATGGGCATGTTCATCCCATGTCTGTGGAGGCCAGCAGAGGGAATTGCCTCCCCTGGAACTGGAGTTACTGATGGGTGCTGGGAACTGAATCTGAGTTCTCTGCAAGAGCAGACAGTATTGTAACTTGCTGGACCATCTCTCCAGCTCTAATGTTGCTGCTACTATTACTAATTCTATCAACATCACCTCTCTCTCTCTCTCTCTCTCTCTCTCTCTCTCTCTCTCTCTCTCTCT